TGCGCTGGCTGATGCCAAGTAGGCAATGATCGTCGCAGTTATTGTCCCAATCAGCAAAGAAAACAGGAAGCTTCTGGATGATCAGGGACACACGCGTGTCCACACAGACACGCGCACACAACAGCGAGAGCTCTCGCCTTTGGTTACATACACAGCAAATGTCTTAAAAAAGAAACACGGTACTCCTGTCTCCTTGGCTTTTCTTTAACTAAAGGCACTTTCCTTTTTGTTATTCTCTCAATATTTAAGGATGCGACATGTGTGTCCTCCATCCTTCATGAGAAACAATGCGCGTTGGTTGAATCATTCATCCGTGGCTCTTCGCACTGTCTCTCAAGGCTGAAGCAATTCTTCTGCTGACAAATAGTAGTAGGAGAGTGGGGCTAAACTCCAATCTGTGTGGATCACTCCTGGGACAAACACCCTGGACGCACAGCCTTTTTTTCCGTGGACTACACTTGCACAGGTAGCAGCTCACGGCACCGGGGACATAAATGTCAGTGGTCTAACTCGTGCCCGGCTTTATTGAGTGCACTTATCTGCCAGCCTCAGGCTACAGTATCTTGGTGAAAATGACTCATCTTCCCCTCGCAGTGCCCTTCACATGTCCCTCCTCTCTGAAATGTACAGAAGGAGTAAGAAAGAGGGCTTTTGGGGCTATTTCCTGTAAGATTTTAGCAGCCCAGAGTGATCACAAGGGGAATATAGAAGATGCGGAAAAGAAGCGTGCGTTACACATTTAAAAGGGGCCGTAATGTATAGGTGGACTGTAAAAGGAGGGAAGGAGGAAGAACGCCTCCAAATCAGCCCAGAGTGGGAGCTTGGTCACCTGCCAGTGCTAACTGCTAATGAGTGGCCGGGATACGTGTTAACGTGTCTCACGGTCGGATGGCGGGATGTGGTCGGGTGGGGTTGTTTTCTGCAAAGATAAAACCATGGGAAGAAAGCAACCGGAGCTCCCCCGGTGCCCACATGAAACAATTTCTTTCCGTTTGGGCTTTAACTCCAGGGACTTGGAAATAAAGAAGGGGAATAGGAGAAGTGGGCGGCGATTTTTGAAGGCTGCAAGTCAGCAGGATTTTTCTGGCCCTGTTTCTTTCGCTGCTTCTCTCTCTCTCCCTCTCCCCCCTCTGCTTTTGTGGGGGAATAAACACATTTCAAAGGATGAGCTCCGGTCCTCTCACTGGAGAATGTGCTTTACATTCTGGAAGCCAGGGCAGCTGCAAGCGTATTTTGTAAGTACGCTGGATGAACGCGGGCTGAGCGTATATTCTAGCTTTTGAGAATCGAATATCTGAGTTGTATTACCGAAGGTCCCTAAAAGACCAGAATTGGAATCGCTTTCTCGACATGTTGCACCGCTCAGACAAATGTGAGGAGGTGCAACGAAATTCTAGTGGGTGAGCTGATCAACAAAACTACAAATGGTATTGAATTGGCCCATTTAGTTAAGCACACAGGGGAATCGACCCCCCCCACACTTGCCTCCACATCCTGCCAAATTCCGTCCCCTAACCTTCCCCCATTTGCGCCCATCCATCCCCCCTTTTCTTCGTTGCCACCGGTGGCTCTGGCCAGCCACTGGCCTCTCCATTTCCCCACTCTCCACTTAATTAACACATTGATCAAGATGCTCATAAATTAGTCCTCCGAAGATGTCCTCGTAGAGCACTCCTTCTCTCACACCCCTTCACCTCATTGGCCACGCTGTTCCTCCCCGGTCCCTGAGCCCGCCCAGGCATCCGCGGTGTCATCATCTGTGGCCAAACTGATTTTTTGCTCCAAATTTCAGCCCATTAAGCTGATCATAGATTTGCAGCAAAAGCTGGAGAGCGTAAAAGGAGGAATTAAGGCAAGTAGGGAGCAGGGAGTTGGCGGTCAAGGCTGCTCTCTTACAACCCCTCAATTCATTAGATTCACATTGCTCAACCTTTTCATGGCGCCCCCCTTGTGTCTTTAAATGTTTCCCCCTTCCTTCCGTCTCTCTCTTTTGCTCTCGGTCTGACCTGTCCAGAGCTGCTTGTTGGCTGCCCGCTCAAAGACTTTGCCCAATTAGGAGGCTCTCAGACTTCATTACAACCCCCTCCTCGTTGTTCCTGCCTCTTTTGTCTTGTTCCGGTTTACATTGCTTGTAGCCCCTTCACAATTTCCGCCATATTTCCCCCTTGTGAAATGTGTGAATAAACTCCCTCCGTTCTATTTAACCCCCTTGTTCCAGGCGGCCTGACTGAAGGCTTGCCTCAGTGATTCACTCATATCTTCAGGTCTCCAGAGTGAGGGATTGAAATATTAGCTTGGCCAGAACCTTCGGGTCTGGAAGTCCTTCAAATATAGAATGCTTTGGCAAACTGCCGAGGGGAATGCACACAGGAGACAAATATTTTCCTTTTAAGAGCGTAGCGATGAGAGCTTTGTCACAATATAACTTACCAGGGTTGGCGCCAGTGTGGCAGAGAGGAAAAACACTTACCCACCATCACTGCGCAGAGCTGGGTTCGCTTCTCGGCCGTGTTGCCTCAACACCGTTGGCGGGTACCGATTAGGAGGGAGGCCAGTCAGCAGTTTCTCTGCTGCACTACGGTAGTGGGGGCTCCACAAGGGCCTCTGTCGGGGGACGGGGGGAATGTCTTCGGCCAAATGAAAGCCGTTATTTCAGTGTGTCTTTGGGAGGTGGATGGACACGCTGTGGTGCTGTGCGGGGTCACACTCCTGGTTTGCTTTTCTGCTTTTCTCTGTTGACGTCATTGGACGCTGACGGAGATTCAGTGGGGTAACGATAGCTTGGGTCTTGATGCATTCGCCGTACTGTGGGTTGTGGTGGGTTTTTTTTTTACGGTGGTTTAACAAGCTAGTTGTGTTGCTCTGCGGCGCAGACACAACTCTAACGCACTCTGCTCACTTTGTGCATACTGTATGCTTGGTCCTTGCCCAAAATCCACAAAACGTCCAGACAACGGATGATGATCCTTAGTTAGTTGAGGAAGCACTTGATTTAATATGTAGCAGAGCACTCATTTTAAAAGTCAATATTGCTGACGATTATGCTTGTGTAACTGTGGCAGCCAAAATCGTGATAGCCATTAAAATGGGATTTATTGTGCAGCCGTAACCCAGGGCGCCCACCTCAAGCCAACAGATAGGTGCGTTTTTGGTGGTGACGCCATTTCGCATGTTTGTAGTGTTTGATAATCCTTGTAACCTTGACAAGGGACACTTCTGTTCTTTCTGTAAGGAGAGCTCCCACAAAAGTAATACAAAAAAACGATAGCGCTAGAATGATCCCTTGTGGCCTTGTGCAAATAAAAAAGAGGCAAGGACAGTGAAGATTCAAAGGGACATAATGCCTGCAGGGCTAAGGAGAGCTAAGCAAGTCCGCAGGGTGGGGTGGGGGGTGGATTCCTTTCTGCTCATGGGTTCGCCTACTGTTGCTAAGGCTGGAGGGAAAGGATTCTGCAGAAGATGTTATTGCCATGTGTGACTCGAGCGGGCTCAGCCGCTGGGTCGTCCATCCATCTCTCTGTATGCATGATGCAAGGACATAAAAGATCCATGGGGAGGGGGGATGTTTAGTGGAAGAGAGAGTCTTCATTGTTGTTCCAGCACATTGTGTTGGACTGCAGACTTCTGGTGAGTAGCTCCCAACGTTTGCCCACATGTAAACACGCAAGGACACACACATGCAGGTTTACTCGCCTCGGGCATATTTCGCTGTAGCTGTCACTGCAGTATGAGGGTTACTGTGTTTTAGGGAATAATCTGATCTGCCAAGTGCCCTCTCTAGCTCACTAGTCTATTCTGTCCAGCAGTTATAATTACATTTACTCTCGTCGAAGCCAGACTTCAAGGTCAGTCATCACCGACGGGGATTTAGAGTCAGAGCTGAGGAGAGGACAAGTTAAACATTGTGGTTTTATGCATTAGAGTAAAATGATTCCCGTGGGTTCTGCATGTGAAGGTCAGTGATAACGCTATCATGTTATAGTGGGGATGGGTGGAGATATCCAACAGGACCCTGACTCTATCCTCTGTGTGACGGAGTCGTCAGCGATTAGCCTACCCGTCACCCCGTCTGTCAGCCTGTTTGTATGCGTAACTTTAGCCTATTTACAATTAGTGTTTGCTAGGACTTTGACACTACTCATCAGCGCCTTTACATGAGGCTTATATTTTACTGTTTATAAAAATAAAATACTCGACATAAAAGCATAGCACTTCAGATTTACGGATGCCGATTCAAACTCCCATGTGTAGCATTAAGCATAGTTCTGTTAAATGAATGCAGTTAAATTACAGTGCACGTTGGGATACGTCCAACATCAGTTGTAGTGGGATTCAGCCAGAAAGCAAGGTGGTACCCAATTAAATATCACTGTCAAAAACAAATACATAACAATAAATCCGATTTACTTCAACATGAACTCCATTAGGATATATTTTATTTCATTTTCTGCTGATTGGTCATTTTTCCCTTATTATTCTACTCAGGTTTCTTGCCCAATAATAATATTGGAATTAACCTTGCACACTACTAATCTTTTCTGAATACAGCTTAGTAATCCAACTCAATCATCCCCTGTATGTTAGCCTGCTTGTCTGAAAAACACAGCTAACATTAACCAGCTCCTTCAACACTGATTTGTTGCTCACAAAGAAGTTGTATTATCAGGCCTAATAATCCTTTTGTGTTGTCCCTTAGTTTTGAGTTCTGATCCATGTTATCTTCATGCTTTTTATTGACTGCTACAGTGTAAAGGTAGTAGAAGGTGAATGTGATCCCATCATTTAAAATGCTTTTGTCATCCATTGGATTGCTGTAACAAAGTTGTGAAGAAAGAATTCTTAACCTGCTTTGTACTGTTAATCTGCTGAAAGATTCATAATAATGTGCTTATCACAAATAAGACTTAATTGTCAGCTGTGGAGTTCCTTGTGCGAAGATTTCATGACACACGATTCCTTAACAAAACCTCCCCTTCCACCTGCTGCACCTTAATCCCCAGCATTATCCCCAACCTGGAAGGAGTAAAGTGGTGGGAAATTATGACTTCCAGTCAGTCATCATCATAAAGCTCCGTTCAGCTGACGCCAGCCTTGAAGCCCGCGCTGTAAGTTTTCATTACAGCCTCATATATCTGTTGCCCCCCGACATGCTTGAGAACCCCCATCCTCAAAGCATTGAAAACCAACTAGTCACACTGGCACCGGTGTGTGTGTGTGTGTGTGTGTTTGCTTTGAACGAGTCAACTTTGCTGGATTTAAGGCCACATGGTAGTTTAGGAGGTTGGATCGAGTTAGCATCTACTTCCTCCCTGCTGCCATGCCTCCTTACATAGAACACTAAATCGCAACCAACATCCAGTCTATCATGTTCTCCCCAAATGATGCTCGCTGGGTGCTGGAACAACATTATACAGCACGCCGTCTGTGATGGAGTATGGACGACTGTTGACGCCCCTTTGCGTCACGTTATGGACGACAGGCAAAGTGCCAGCGGCATATAAAACACTTCTTTGAGAAGTAGCATCAAAGCATCCTGATGCTTATAAATAGATATAAATGAGTAAGAAAAACAAATTATTTGTCCTTCGGATTGGTGTAATTTGCATTGGGACGTGTGAAAACAAACACAACGTACCCCACATTTGCCTGTTTTCATACACACACATAAATGCCACATGCCAGATTGTCGACACTCTCCTTCAGCGCACATCAGCAAACGAGCCCCCTGCACACACAGCACAGACACAGCCTCCCGTCAGGGCCTTGTGGGTGCTGCATCCATTCATCGCGTTGCGGGATAAGCGGCCACATCAATGGCGGCATTGCCTGTTTCTTGCATGTTGCACATTGACGGGTTCACAGGCATGACGCCTCTGTGTCTTTGTCGATCAAAGTGTCAAAGTGTCACAATATAACCACACGCGTTTGTACATTTACAAAGACACTCGTAGTTGGATGATGATTTGATGCTGGAGACCTTCTGGAAACCGTAAACTATACTGCTGAAATTGTGTGACGATTATAAAAGAGATATCACTCAGTGACTCATTTGTTGCCCATTCCAGCACATAAATGACTCATGCTTACATTTCCCTGACAATTGACCTCATCCGGTCATCCCAATGCTGATTGTTTCCTTCGGGAAGTAGCAAGGCATTATTAGAGCACCACAAGGCCTGTTTGAGAAGAGGTCCGAACGGTTGTTGGTTGTACAAAGTGGATCCTTTTCCTCCATCAACAGTCAGCGTTTTAATCATGACCACGATTGTTTCCCAGGCACAGCCTAGTAGTTCCTCTTGTTACCATGATCCTAGTATGTCTTCAACTTTAAACCAGTAGTCATCTCTTGTCATTTTTGGTGTTCTATCAGAACCCAAAGCTGCTTTGCCAGCAATCTGTTTATTACTATCTTTGTGTTTGGGGCACTAACCAAAGCGTTGAAACAAGCATAAACAAATTCAGGCCACACCACTAATAGTACAAACTATATGGTTAGAAATGTTGATGGTAGGAAGAGTGAATATATCTACTCGATATGGAGCCCTCGCATCTCTTTTGATTTAGTTCATGCAGAAACAAACCATCACACACGCACTCACACTCACACACAGACACACACATATATAAAGGCTCTTCCTGACTTCCACCATCCATTACTACTCTTCTCCCCCCCACTTGTTTCTCTGCGGTCTCCACTTGCGGTTACGTAAGGCCCAAAACAGGTGTCGCAGAGTGATTGTGTATCTCAAGCTATTTCTGGGAGCAGGTGAACACGGACGACCACAGCAACACTCCCCACACTATCCTCCCACTCCAGAGCGCAGATGTTCTACCTGTGGCGTGAATTTAGTCCTGTGTGGGTCTGCGTTTGTGTCCACATACGTGCATTTTGTTCCAAACTTCACATTGACATTGGAGGTGGAAAGCAGGGAAATAATATGATTGTATCACAAACACATTTACCCTGCACTTAAAGAGTGTTTTGCGACACCAGCTTAATATCCCCAGGCTGGCTATCTACCGTGCGCGGCGTATACATCATGCCAACATACATGCTTTCACGTAGGAAAGATAAACATCCTCCCGGCCAAGTGTTTATCTCCAGGTAAATGCAACGTGATAGAGGTCGATAATGGGTAAAACGGTCCGGAGGCTGGGCCTTCGCAACCGGACGCCCCGTCAGAACGCAGCGCACGTGTGTGCACGTTTGCCGTGAAAAGAAGTGCGATGCAGAGATTGGGGGGCTATTTCAGTGATGAGGTTGACTTTTAAAGAGTGACATGTTAGCCCTGACTGATGCCACTGCTCTGATGTAAAGGATTATCCCATTACTGGGACCTGGGGCTTTCAGCACTCAGTCACACACCTCGGGGAATGAGAGAAATGATGGGAAGGGGAGGGGGGGAGGGGGGCTGGAGGGAAGGAAGAAATGGAAGAGAAAAGTCAAAGTGATGGAGAAGGGAACGAGAGGGACACGGGTAGGAAGGCGCATTAAAGAGAAGGGTTGAAGGAGCAGGGATGAAGTGAGACACAGAGCTCTGCTGCAGAGAGATCGAAATAGAAAGGGCCAAGAAGCAGCGGCCACAGCGAGAGGACGCAAGACGAGACAGTACGGGGGGGGGGCAGGGTAAAAAGCACGAACACGAGATAAAAGCAGATGATGAAGATTTGATAGTGTGGCTGTGAAAGAGATAGAGAGTGCATTAGGGAACAAAACCATGAATGATGCATCAAAGAAAGGACGGTTTGAGTTATTGGGGCTGGGAGTGGGAAAGAGGGGGTCGCTTAAAAGAGGAATTATATAAAAAGGGAAAAAGAAAGGCGATCGGCAACAAAAGCAGAAATGGAAGATCTCATCGGATGGACGAAGAAAGGAGGGAATGAAGGGGAAAATATATGAGATTAAAGGCAACAGAGAGGAGCTATTCCTGGACCAGTGTGAAGAGGAAGATGAATAAGCGAGGGATGAATGAAGAACGTGAAGTGTACATGAGAGGAACACCTGGGGGGGGTAGAGAAAACGGCTAGAGAGAAAGGCTGTTGAAAAGAGAGGACAGGTCATTATTCTGTCAGCCTCCCTCCCCTGTGCATTGATCCAGTGATCTGGCTCGCCTACACAATCGTGCACACACACACACACACACACACACACAGGGGCAATGCATGTTGGACCTGCATTGATTTGATTGGTGTCCTGTCTGGTCCCATGTTGGCTTGTTGTTTACGAGTCCAGTGTACCGTACATCAGCACCTACACACATCAGCACTCACACACACACACACACACACACACACACACACACACACACATACTTACAGCAGCACTGAGTTTTATGACCGAACTCCAGCGGTGCCCTTGAGTGGGGCCATATTGCCATATTGCCAACACAAGTACAATATATATTTATTTAGTGAAACGGACACACAGTAGCCCCTGAGAGGACTGTAAACCAGCACTCAAACAAGCATGAGATTAATGATTTATTGTTTTAATGGGGGACCCTTTCACAGCCATTTCCTGCCCTCTTCTCTTTGGTAACTGTATACAGAAGCGGCCTCATTGCAACAGAGGATAAATCCATTGCTACGGATGTTGCATGCAGGTGGTCACGGGACCGGTCGCAGTCTACGGTTGTATGTATAATATTCAATATGAAGGGATGGGTGGCAGCAGAAGCTTCCGAGTCCTCACAGGTTCATGAATATATTGATGCACTTGAGTTTCACCATATGTTTTGTGATTCTGTAATAATTGTTTCTAAATAGCTTCTCTGTCGCCTGAACCCTTTTTGGGAACGTCTCAATCTGCACTCACACACGAGCAGTGAAATAAGGCGAGTCGTTAGGAAGGCACGCCGAAGCGGCGTTCGTTGCGCTGACTTTGATTGGAGAGGGTTGCTGTCAGATGAAGTCTTACGGCACCCGTCAGGGCAGTAATACAAGCTGAGAGGAAATAACATCTATTTCTCTGATGACATCATTACAAGTGAAAGTAATAGAAGCTGCCGGCCAAACATGGCGTGGGAGTCAGGCCAGTCAAGCTCAGAGACAATCCATGTCAACCGCTAAGTGGCAGTGACTCATTCGTTGCAATTTATTTAAGGATGAGGCAACGCGCACTGCAGAAGTTTTGATTAGGTGCACTTGCAGTGAAGTACATTTTCTCATTATAGTCGCTGTGGCTTTGATCGTCATCCCTTTAAACTAAAAGCCTCTTTCAAACGGGTTTCTTTGCACCACCTTCAGATATCACAGTAATACACTGTTAAAGGCGGCTACAGTGGAAATGATGTATTCCCATGCTTATCCGGTCAGCATATTGTCTTGGACGATGCAGTTTAAATATTTGTTCAATGAAAAACACATTTTAATATTTTTGGGGCTTCATGTCTCAGTCACCGTGTCTCCGTGCAGCAAAACTTTAGTGGGACTAATTCCTGTCCCTTACTCTGAATGCCTGCGAGGGACGAAGAGCTTTTGATACAGAACTTGTCCTTCAAATTTCCGCTTTGAACCCGCTCATGGAGCCGCTTCTCGCCGCCACAAACAGGTTCCTGTTAAATATCAGGGAAGAACTGCGCGAGGGTGAGAAAGACGACGCCCTTCCCCAGCAGCAGCTGGTTCACTTTCACCGCCTCATCTGTGACATGGTGTTTTGCTTGTATTTTTCCACTTGGCAATTTCCCGCAGACAATTTCACATCCACAGATTTCAAGGGCGGAGGAAAGGAAAAAAATTGAGATATAAGGGAGTGAAATTGCTTTGCAAATAGCTTTTTTTTATTTTCATTTTTTTTATTTTTTCACACAAAGTGCATCAGCACGGTTAATGGGGAGACCAACTATAAGGGGTTGCGGTGCATGTGCAGAGTGAGTGGGTAATGTAAATATTATCAGAAATGAAAACTTCAAGTGGAGTGGGTGTACAGTGAAAGGCTGCATTGAATGCATTAGTGGAGGGGGGGTGCGTTCCTGCAGAGTGGAGCCCATTTGGGAGAACACAGAGTACTGCAGTTTATTAAGCTGGTGTTGAGGAACGCGCTTCAGAGAGGAGCATTTAGATGTGAGTGTGAGACACTGGTCCTGTAGAAGTCCGGGTACAGCTG